TTTTATGACAATTGTTCATAAAAAAATAAAAGGTTTATGGTGCCCCTGGTTGGCTCAGTGAGTTAAGCATCTGCCTTGGGCTCAGGTTGTGATCCTGGGTCCTGGGATCCAGCCCTGCATTGGGCTCCCTGCTCAGTGGGGAGTCTGCTTCTCCCTCTCCCCCTCCCCACCGCTTGTGTGTTCTCTCTCTCTTTCAAATAAATAAACAAAATCATTAAAAATAAATAAATAAATAAATAAATAAATAAATAAATAAATAAATAAATAAAGGTTTTGTTTGTTACCATGGAATTCTGAACATGCTTTTGAAGGACTAATATTTTATAGATGCCTTAAAAATATACCTTTTTTCAAATAATATGTAGCTATCAGAAATTGTTTGTGAGAACTAGAGATCCCTGGGTGGCTCAGTGGTTTAGTGCCTGCCTTCAGCCCAGGGTGTAATCCTGGAGTCCTAGTATTGAGTCCCACGTTGGGCTCCCTGGATGGAGCCCACTTCTCCCTCTGCCTGTGTCTCTGCCTCTCTCTCTGTCTCTCTGTATCTCATGAATTAAATAAATAAAATCTTTAAAATAAAAAAATTAAGAAATTGTTTATGAGAACTGGCAATCATAATAATAAGCTTTATCTTCTATTGAATGCCTTCTGTGTTCCAGAAACTTGACACGTGCTGTCTCTAATCCTCACTACAACCCTGTGTAGGCTTTACCATTGGATGGGCCAGGTTTTGCCAGCTGAGCAGTCTTGAGTGAGTACCAACCATCCTGTCCCTACATTTCCTCACCTGTGAAAACAAAGAACCTACTAGCACCTACCTCTGGAGTTACTGAGCATTCAAATGAGATGATCCACATAAGGCACTTGGAACAGGGCCTGGCTAATTATCAGCCCTCAAGAAATGTTTATGTTCACCAAATAAATTCTAGGTGCCCTGACAATTTAAACATGAAAAATGAAATCCAGCAATGACAATATTCACAGTACTCAAAGAATAGAATATACTAGGGGTGCCTAGTGGCTCAGTTGGTTAAGCGTCTGACTACTGATTTTGGCTCAGGTCATGATCTCAGGGTTGTGAGATAAGCCCCACATCATGTATGCTTCCGTGCTGGGTGTGTAGCTTTTTTTAAGATTCTCTCTCTCTCTCTCTCTCTCTCTCTTATTCTTTCGGTCTCCCTCTACCCCTCCCCCAACCCACACTCTCCACCACTCTCTGAAAAAAGAAAAAAGTATATATCAGAAGTATAATCCCGCAGGTGGGGAAGACCTTCTGAGCACACCATTAAAGGTAGAGACAATAAAAGCAAAGGATTATCAGAACTGACCACACAATAAAAATTATGGCTGAGTGACAGGAAACACCAAAAAGTTAGAAGATAAATCATAATTTGGGGAAAAATCATAACTAATTTGACAGACAAAAATACCTTTAATATACAACATGCTTTACAATTTAAAAAAATACGAACAATGGTATTTTCCCAGGAAAAAATAGATAAAGGATAGAAACAGTCAAACAAGACAGTCTGATGTGGCCAGTTTCTGCATAGGAACATTTTGATAAGCCCTACTGACACAGTTGCCCTGACACAGCCACCTGTTTCAGCTGTCCCCAATGCGGTACACTCCCCCAGCCTCCCTCTCTCCCCATCCTCCAGTCCAGAGAACTCTTGCTTTGTATTTTAGTTCTTTCTGTGTTGTTTTCTTTTACAAAACTGTTACTTCTAATCAAAAAAAAAAGAAAGAAAGAAACATCTTTTAGACAGAGTGTTAACCTCCAAGGGGAAACTAAAATCATCTTTATAAGAGAAATTTTGTGATATTAAATATAATGTCTGCATACTCAAATCCTGAGAGAAGTTGAGAATTTCATTGAGCTTTTCCTCTACATTCTGGAGCTGAGAATAAGAAATCTTATGTGCTCCAAATACCTTCCTTCTTCCCCTCTACACATTGTCCATAGATAGATGCAGTATATTCGTCCATTCATTGAATAGGTACTTAAAGAGCACCTGTTGGGTGCCAGGCATGGTGCTATGCATGGGGATCTAGCAGTGAACTAGAAACAGCCCCTGCCCCCATGACGCCAACAGTCTAGTTGGGGGAGGAGCAAACACAAAGGAATTCAATATCCATGTGAATTTCACCATCCAGTGTGAGGAATCATGAGGCAGGGAAAGGACAAAGAGAATGGGGGAGGGGGGCTGCCGTTTTACATTAAATGGCCAGGCAGAAAGATTTGAGGAGAGGCATTAAGGAGGTGAGCGAGTGAGCTATGAGGATTTCTGAGAACATTCCAGGCAAAGAGAACAGCAACAGCAAAGGCCCTGAAGCAGGAGGTGTGTTTGATGAACTTTGAGGTCACCAGGGTGACTGGAGCAGAGGGATAAAGGGAGAGAGCAGTAGCAGATGACGGCAAAAAGTTCAGGGGTTGAGGGAGATCAGGTAGAGCTGTGTCTGTCATGGTAAAAACTTTGGATTTTATTTTATGAGTCTGGGAAGGTTGACATAATCAGAAGAAAGCAAGCCTACAAAAAGAAGAGGTGTGTCTATCTTATATTTTTAAACAAAAGGAATAATTTCCATTTTCATTTTCCAACAAATAATTTAGTTCTATGCGATTATAGACCAAATGGTGCCCAGTCCCTAACCACTCCCCCATCACTGAGACCTTTACCTCAAAGGTAAAGGGCAGGGGTTGGCAGGGGTTAGCAATAGGGAATTTGAGTGTTACAAGGGATGAGTTAACATAACAGGTTTGGTGGCTCATTTCCTTGCCTATCTTCCTTGCCTAGGGTCCAGGATAGACCCTAAGGAAACCCATGAGAATGTGTCTCTGAAACTGATGATTTTGTTGTGTACACCTAGAATAATAGGCAATGCCATGCCACCTTGTTAGGATTACTTTGCACAAACATGAATATTGATAATGTGAACCTGGTTTCATTGTTGGGGTCAACAGTATTGAGGTCCTGAGTCTCCTGGTCATGGCCTGTTATCAATAAGACATACATATGTGATCAACCCTCCTATCTGTGACCCAAACCCTGAGACTCAAAGTGGTCTCTATGGGCACAGGTATTCTGCATATGTCCCTGGAATTCACAGTTATAAAACAGGAAAAGGGGAATTAGAAAGTATTTTGAACTAAATGAAAATGAAAACACAATATAGCTAAAGCTGTGGGATGCAGCTCAAGCTGTATTTAGAAGGGAATTGATACCACTAAATTTCTATATGAGAAATGAAGAAAGGCTTCAAATCAATGTCTCCACCTTTGATCCTCAGGAACTAGAAAAATAAGAAGAAATTAAATTCAAAGTAAGCAGAGGAAAGGAATTGTTAAGGTAAGGGCAGAAACAAATGAAATAGAAAACAGGAAAAATAGAGGAAATCAATGAAACAAAAAACTAGTTATTGCAAAAGATCAACAAAATTTATAAACCTATATCCAGGAAAAAAAGAGAAGATACAAATTATCATTAGCAGAAATAAGAGCAGGGATATCACCATTAGACCCTCCAGAGAGTAAAATGATAAGGGAATATTATAAACAACAAACAATATAGGAAATTTAGGTAAATTGGAGTTCAAATTTAAAAATTTTTGTGTCTTAAAAAATCAAATTAAAAAATAAAAATGTTTGTGTCTCAAGGTACACTACCAATAAAGTGGAAAAATAACCCACAGAAAGGGAAAAAAATATGTGCTAACCATGTATCTAATAATAGTTTAGTATCTAGAATGAAGAACTCACAGAACTCAGCAAAAAAATAAACAAGTCAATTAAAAGTGAGTATAAGGGGGCGCCTGGGTGGCTCAGTCGGTTAAGCATCTGCCTATGGTTCAGGTCATGATCCCAAGGTCCTGGGATCAAGCCCTGACAGGCTACCTGCTCAGCAGGGATTCTCATTCTCCCTCTGCCCCTCCCCCTGCTCATGCTTGTGTGCTCTCTCTCTGAAATAAATAAAATCTTTAAATAAATAAATAATTACAGGGGCACTTGGGTGGTGTAGTCAGTTCAGTGTCTGACTCTTGGTTTCAACTCAGGTCCTGATCTCAGGGTCATGAGGTCAGCCCGGAGTTGGAAAGTTGGGGCTCCAAGTTCAGCACAGAGTCTGCTTGAGATTCTCTCTCATTCTCCCTTTTCCCCCCTCCCAAATAAATAAATAAATAAGCCTTAAAAATAAATAAAAGTGAGTATTATCAGGGAAAGAGAAGGATAATATGTGATTATAAAAGGATAGGGAGGTAAATTTTGCAAGAGGATATACAATTCTAAGCATTTATATACCTAATAACAAAGCTTCAAAATACATGAAACAAAAACTGATAAAATAGAAATGCAAAATAAGCAAATACACACTTAGAGATTTCAAAACACCTTTCAATAATTGATAGTAAAGTAGACAGAAAATCAGTAAAGATATAGAAGACTTAGCACTATCTACCAACTTGACCTAATTGAAATTTATAAAACACTCCAAGGAACAACAGAATATACATTCATTTCACATGGCCAGGGAACGTTTACCAAAATAGATAATATCCTGAGCCACAAACCATTTAAAAAGTATTAGAATTAGAAAACATGTTCTCTGAACACAATGCAATTAAATTAGATTTTACTATATTAGATTAAGTTAGATCAGTAAAGCAAAGGTTTCTGGAAAATCTCCAAATATTTGGAAGCTGAAAAACAAACTTTTAAATAACACATGGGTCAAGGAAGAAATCAAAAGGAAAATTATAAAGCATCTTGAACTAAATGAATATGAAAACAGCAAAAATTGTGGAATGCAGATAAAGCCATGGTTAAAAGAAAGTTTATAGCAGAAACCATATCTATTACATTAGAAAACATTAAGGATCTTGCAACAATGACCTCAACTTTCACCTTAAGAACCTAGAAGAAGGCAGACCACGCTGGGTTGCAGCCACCGCTGCTGCCACCATCATGCCAGCCCTTCTGGTCTCAAGGAGCCCGGTGACACTCCAGAATGGGAGACAAGCCAATTTGGGAGCAGATGGGATCCAGCTTCATTCAGCATTACTACCAGTTATTTGATAACCTCAGAACCCAACTAGGCACAATTTATATTGATGCATCATGCCTTATGTGGGAAGGACAGCAGTTCCAGGGGAAAGCTGCCATTGTGGAGAAGTTGTCTAGCCTTCTGTTAGACACACAACACAGCATCACAGCACAGGACCATCAGCCCACGCCAGATAGCTGCATCATCAGCATGGTTGTGGGCCAGCTCAAGGCTGATGAAGACTCCATCATGGGTTCCACCAGAAGTTCTATTAACATTGATGATGCTTGGGTTTGCACCAATGACATGTTCAGGCTTGCCCTGTACAACTTCGGCTGACCTCTTCCCAGCCAGGCACTCATGCTGTTTCCTCCTCCCTCCCCTTCCTGATACTTACTATTCACACTCCTCCAGATGCTCCAAATACACACAAATGAGCAGGGCCGCAGTGGGAGCGGGCACAGTATGCTGCTACTACCGAGGTATTGTGCATGATGTTTGGATGCTAGACTAGTTGCATCTGACAAGAGAAGTTTGTGTTGTACCAGCGCATGCCTTGGAAAGACTTAAGTAATGCAAAAGGTTGTCTTTTTTTCTTTTTTTCTTTTTAATCTACTGACAAGTTGCTCTAGTAACCCAAAGAAGAGAAGGAGAAAGCAGCTGCCTCACTGCCCAGATATTGATTTGTTTGGATGTCTCAATGGCACATGATATAATAAAACCACAAAAACTTTCTTAAAAAAAAAAAGAACCTAGAAGAAAAAGAGTAAATTAACCCTAAAGTAAGCAAACTTAAATCTAAAGTAAACATGGCAGAAATCAAACACACTGAAAATCAAAAAAAGAAAAACAACAACAAAGAAAAGCTGGTTCTTTGAGAATGTCAATAAAATAGATAAACCTCTAGACAGATTAACCACGGAAAAAAGGATCCAACTAACCAATATTAAGGTTGAGAGAAAGAACATAAACTATAGATCCTACAAATATTGTAGCAGGTAGACTCTAAAACCGTCCCCATTGGTGCTTATCTCCTGGTATTCATGCTTGTGTAATACTCTCTCCTTGAGTATGGTGTAAAGTTGTAACTTGTTTCTAAGAACAAAATACAACAAAGGTAGTGTGATATCACTTCCATGACTAGGCTGTGACTATCATCTTGTGATATTCTCCCTTTTGCTGGCTTTAGTGAAGCAAGCTGCCATTTTGGAAAGGCAAAATGGCAGGGAACTGAGGGCAACCTCTTGCCAACAGCCAACAGAAAAATTGATGCCCTCAGTCCAACAACCCACAAAGAACTTAATCCTGCCAACAGCCATGTGAATTTAGAAGTGAATCCTTCCCCAAGTCAAGTCTTTAGATGAAACTCTGGCCCTAGGTTACAGCCCTGTGAGAGACTGCAAACAGAGGACTCAACTAAGCCGTGCCTGAATTCTGGATCTGCAGAATCTGTGAAATAAAAAATGCATGTTGTTTTAAGCTGCTAAATTTGTAGTAATTTGTTATGCAGAAATAGGTCACTAGTACGAATGTTAAAATAAGGAAATATTATCAACAACTTCATGCTAATAAATTTGTGAACTTTGATGGAAAGGAAAAATGGACAAATTTCTTAAAATACACAATCAAAACTCATTCAAGAATAAATCGATAGGGCAGCCCCAGTGGCGCAGTGGCTTAGCGCCACCTGCAGCCGGGAGTGTGATCCTGGAGACCGGGGATCGAGTCCCACGTTGGGCTCTCTGCATACAGCCTGCTTCTCCCTCTGCCTATGTCTCTGCCTCTCTCTCTCTCTCTCTGTCTGTGTCTCTCATGAATAAATAAATAAAATCTTAAAAAAGAATAAATCAATAACCTTAATAGTCCTGTAACTATTACAAAAATTTATTTGTAGGGGTGCTTGGGTGGCTCAGTCAGTAAAGTGTCAGACTTTTGATTTCAGTCCAGGTCATGATCTCAGGGTTGTGAGATCAAGCCAGACAATGGTTGTGCTCCATGGTCAGCAGGAAGTCGGCTTGAGATTCTTTTCCTCTGCCCCCCACCTCCCTGCACATTCATGTGCACTGTTTCAAATAAATAAATAAATAAATAAATAAATAAGTAAATAAATAAATCTTTTAAAAATTCATTTGTAGTTAAAAACTTTCCCACAAAGAAAAATTTGAGCCCAGATGACTTCCCTGGTGAATTTCCCAAGCATTTAAGAAATAATTATAATTCTATACAAACTCTTCTAGAAAATATAAAATAATACCTCCCATTTTATGAGACAAGCATTACTATGATACCAAAATCAAAGACATTTTACGAAGGAAAATAAAGACCAATATTGTTCAAAAACTTAGATGCAAAAATTCTTAGCGAAATTTTAGCAAATTGAATCTAACTATAAGTACAAAGGATACTTCATTGTGACCAAGTGAGGTTTATCTGAGGAGTGCAAAGTAGGTTGAACAATCAAAATCACTGTAATTCACCATATTAACAAAAGAATAAAGAAAAAAACATATCATCATCTCATTAGATACAGAGAAAGCATTTAACAAAATGCAACATCTTAGCATAAAATCTCTTAAATAAAATCTCTTGGGGATCCCTGGGTGGCTCAGCGGTTTAGCTCCTGCCCTCAGCCCAGGGCATGATCCTGGAGTCCTGGGATCGAGTCCCATGTTGGGCTCCCTGCTTGGAGCCTGCTTCTCCCTCTGCCTGTGTCTCTGCCTCTCTCTCTGTGTGTGTGTCTCTCATGAATAAATAAATAAAATCTTTAATAAAAATCTCTTAGAAAACTAGGAATAAAAGGAATCTTCCTTAATCTGAAGAAAGGTAACAACAAAAGACCTACAGCTAACATCACATTTAATGATGACAGACTAAAATGTTTTCCCCCTAACATCATGAACAAGGCAAGGCTATCTACTTGTACAATTTCCAGTCAATATTATACTGGAAACTCTAGCCAAGCCAGTAAGTCAAGAAAAAAATGCATCTAAACTGGAAAACCTTAAGGAAAGGAAAACATTAAACTCTCATTAGTCATGGATGATAAATTGTCAAAACAGAAAATCTTCCAGAATGTATAAACAAGCTACAACAACTAGTAAGTGAGTTTAGCAAGTTTGCAGGATATAAAGTCAATATACGAGAATCAGTTGTATTTGTATATATTAGCCATGAATAACTGGACATTTAAATTTTTAAAAAGATATGTATTTATTTGCCAGAGAGTGAGAAAGCAATAAGCAGGGGGAGCAGCAGAAGGAGAGGGAGAGGGGATCCCTGGGTAGCTCAGCAGTTTAGCACCTGCCTTTGGCCTGGGGAGCGATCCTGGAGTCCCGGGATGGATCCTGGAGTCCCGGGATGGAGTCCCACGTCATCGGACTCCCTGTGTGGAGCCTGCTTCTCCCTCTGCCTGTATCTCTGCCTCTCTCTCTCTCTCTCTCTCTCTCATGAATGGATAAATAAAATCTTTTTTAAAAAAAATAAAAAAAAAGAAGTAGAGGGAGAAGCAGGCTCCCCGAGGCGCAGAGAGCCCTATACAGGGCTGATCACAGGACCCTGGGATCATGACCTGAGCTGAAGGCAGATGCTTAACAGACTGAGACACCCAGGAGATCCTAAATTTTTTTAAGGCTTCAAAAATACTAAATAATGGGGCGCCTGGGTGGCTATGTACTTGTATTTGATCAAATGTATTTGATCATGAAGCTCTTTACTTGCACATTAGCAATATTCTATGAAACACACTTTAGGGGATCCCTGGGTGGCGCAGCGGTTTAGCGCCTGCCTTTGGCCCAGGGCGCGATCCTGGAGACCCGGGATCGAATCCCACGTCGGGCTCCCGGTGCATGGAGCCTGCTTCTCCCTCTGCCTGTGTCTCTGCCTCTCTCTCTCTCATTCTACGTGACTGTCATAAATAAATAAAAATTAAAAAAAAACACACTTTAGAAACCATGATTTCTTCAACACTTTTGCTTTACTTGTGAGGAATTTGATACCCAGAGACAGTAACTCACTTGACCAAGACCACTTGCCTAACAATGTCTCCAGGCATAAATTCTGCATTCCTTGCATTACACAACAGATTATCATTTTCATTAGGTATGGGATATATCTTGAAGGTTTCATAAGCAAGTACTGCTTCTACTTCTGTGCTTCCACTAGTCCAGGGGCTGGACTATTATAGCACTTACCATTATATAGTACAATTGACTACAGTAGACTGAGCACTTCCTCTGCCCAGGGAATGTGGAAGGATCATTTTTGTTTTGCCCAGTTAGTTCCAGTGACTAGAATATAGTGGAATCTCAGTAAATGTTCCATAAATAAAAGGACTTGGGGTGGGGGAAGGACTTCTATGTGAACCGTCCAATAACAAGAGTACAGGTATCCAAGAAAAGAGTATAAGACTCCAAGTTGGGAAAAACATGCTGAAGAACAGTGATCTAGGGGAAGGAGATAGGATGAAGAAAAACTAAAACCAGTATTCTCACAGTAAGGAATCAGAAAAGTAGACCCAATGAGATATAGTGGTGTCACCAATGCAGAGAAGACGTTTGATTCAGGACAGCTGGTGCATTATTGCATAATCTCTAAATAATTAGCTATACTAAATGCCAATAAAATGCTCTGCTCCATGCAAAAAAAATAACACATTATGACATAACCATATTAAAATGATTATTTCAGGGGTGCCTGGCTGACTCAATCAGTACAGCATGCAACTCTCAACCTTAGAGTCCTGAATTCAAGACCCACACTGGGGTGGAGCCTACTTTCAGAGATAGATAAATAAGTAATTATTTAATTTGGATAGCACAGAATATCTATCATAAGTATCAGTTCAATATGTTGAGGGAAATTTTTTTAAGCTTGTTATTCTCACAATAAAAATGGAATATAATGAAAACAAAATTACATCACAAAAAGAACATTATTAATCATGACAAGCTCTTGGCATACATAAGCTCATTTAGGTTTAATAACTACTCTGTGAAGTGAACATCTCTCTGTTTTAAAAAGATTTGAGGAACTAAATCTAAGAATCTGCAGTTCTGTTATAAGAATCTGGGTTACCCCAATTTCCCCCAATAATTTTCAAAACCAAAGTTGCTCTAATGTGGTGAACTTCTCCAATGACCTTAATTTTATAAAGAGTTTAATTTTTCTGACTCACAACTTCTTGTTGAGCATTTTAAAATGATAACAGGTGCATTATCTTGTTCAGGACAAAATGTAGGAATTCAAAACAGCTGCCTCTCTAAGGAGCATCCAAGACTTTTACAAGTCCCTAATATGGGTTTTGTATCAAAATCAATTTGTAACCTTTCATGGGAAGAGAA